GTGAGGATTTCGTCGGGTGTAAGCAAGTCCTTGTTTGGCAACTCCTCCGCCATTATCCACACACGTCGGCCTAGGTGCGAAGCAGATCGCATACAGCACACGAAACACTGCGGGTAGTACAAAGAAGAAAATACCGAACGAGAAACGGATATAGAACCAACGTCACAAAACGCCGAAGGAAAGCAACCTAAGATGATTGTCGGAGACGAATATCGGTGACAGTGTTAAGTCGAATGTCGTAACGGTCGTGAGCGCAAGAGAGGACGATGGATTATGTGGACACGTCGAAGGATTGAGCGCAGGACAAGCAAGCAGATGATCGAGAAACGATGCATGTAGTCTAAAAGATAGCTAGGATGGGATTTTTTTTGTGTGGGCGAAGTCGTACAATGTGGTCGACGAGCTTTGGGGCACGTTGGTGCAAGACGGAGGAATGAAGACAGGTACATATTAGTCTAGAGGACCAGCACGGTTGCCCGAAGCAAGCTGCGACAACAATGAGCCGCGGAGCGCGAAGCGCGATATTTTTTCATTTTTGTCCTTCATCCCCTGGACTCAGGAGGAGGGAAAACAAGGCTCTAAATATCGGGCGCTTTCAACCATCGCGCTGTAGAGCGACCCTTNAGCGCGATATTTTTTCATTTTTGTCCTTCATCCCCTGGACTCAGGAGGAGGGAAAACAAGGCTCTAAATATCGGGCGCTTTCAACCATCGCGCTGTAGAGCGACCCTTCCGCAACCCCCCCCCGGGGAATCGTATGCCAAAATATGATCCCTCTATGTGACGAGAACGAGGTCTATAGAGCACCGAATTACGATGTGCTGGGTTGTGAGGAGGAATCTAATTAGGGCACTCTCCGTCACACCGATCGCGCTCTTACAACAGATGGCCGTGCTTGACACGCATTGCATTTGTTTCCGAAATCATCGTAACGTCCCCGGGAGTTCGACACAATACGGAGATCTCCTACACGCACACAGCAGTTATTACGTAGCAGGGTTGCTCGGTTTCCGACCCGGGGAACGCAGAGGAAGCACTCAGCTAAACACGCCACACCGCTGGGGGGCAGGACCCATATGCTCAACAAACTTCCAGCGGGAGCCGACACTATTATATAGACTACATAGACTACAGTGTCGTCGTGGAAGATCCGTTCGAATATAAATATCATGTAGGCTATTCCGCGAAGTAAGTACCTGATGTGCGCGTGCTAGGTTGCTGCGTTGCTGCCTGGAACGCAGAGTGTCTCGCACCTATAATAGCACAGCATCGCAGATAGACTACTGCAAGGTATTGAGTCGTCGCCCGCGGCTCATTACTCCCCCCTCTCTGCATAGTATCGGTTTGAATTTGTCTGGGCAATTTTTTTCCTTCGAGCAAGAAGACGAAACATGTGTTTCCGAATCTCGCCGCGCACAACGCCAATATTCCTTCGAGGCTCATCTCCACTGAAAGGCCCGCCAGTATGGCAAGAATTGGTCCGTCCCTCCGACGTGAAACTGAGGCATCACCCGGCTTGATACTCACTATCACAAACTGGCTAGTCTATACTTGTACAAGCACTGGATACCCGCCAGCATGCAATCAAAATTACATGTCTGATCATGTGATCAATGGTATATATATGACTAAATAATAATAAATATTTTTTTTATATTATTTTATCCTGCCGCTGACGCCACAATGAGACTGTTGTCTCCAGGTTCGCGTGTGAGCAAGTTCCCTTAGGGATGGGCGGTGTGGATACACACCGGATCAACCTCTGGTGGAGAGGCTGATGTACGGAACGTTGAGTCGAGTGTGTGTGTGTGAGGCAGGTGGGGATCAACCTTGTGTTGAAGCAAGGTTCAGCATCCAACCTGCACTGACTCTATCTGTGGTAACACCCCGAAGGTGGATCTCCGACGGTCATCTGACGTCACAATCTACGACAGTCTGAGGTGGCATTCACATCTAGTCATATACCATTGCCGGCGTGGTGTTCGGAAATGCCTCGTCCCCTTCATGAGTTTCCCCCCAACTCTCCCTCACACAATTGAGGAACGAGACGAACTCCGGTCCGCCCCAATGTTCCAATGTTTTTTGCATCACATCCGCGTTTAGAAAAAGAATAGGCCGCCCCTGCGGGAGCGAGCACGCCGGAGGGACCAAAAGGCAGGGAATACAGCAAGTATTGAACATTTTTGTGTGAGTATTGAATTTGTTGGTGTGACCAAGGATGCCGCAAAAAGTCGGCGGCAAAAAACGGTGGCAAGCTTCTGTTTCCTGACAGCCAAAACCATCCATCACGCCACATTAATATTTTTATGTCTGAAAAGTTCTACGCTCTTGTCAGAACAACTTGCCGCTGCCCTGCTCAACAAATTCCGTTGGGTATTGCTTTCTCACCGCGGCTCCATCAGCCCCCCTCATCGGGGTCTCCTCGTGCACCCTCGCCCGTTGCGCCGGAGGGCGATCCAGTCCCTGGTTTGGAGGAGGCAACAGCAGCGCATGCACGTCAACCA